CTCGGGCCATTTCGGCACACCTCTCACGAGGATCGTGGCCCCATAGGGAGCTCCACCGAAGGTTCTTGTGGCAGGGTTCGCGTGGCGGCCTCGCATGGCGGCCTCGGGCTCTTTCGGCACACCCCTCACGAGGATCGTGGCCCCACAGGGAGCTCCACCGAAGGCGCCAGTGGCAGGGTTCGCATGGCGGCCTCGGGCCATTTCGGCACACGCCTCACGAGGATCGTGGCCCCACAGGGAGCTCCACCGAAGGCGCCAGTGGCAGGGTTCGCGTGGCGGCCTCGGGCCATTTCGGCGCACCCCGCACGAGGATCGTGGCCCCACAGGGAGCTCCACCGAAGGTCCCCAGTGGCAGGGTTCGCATGGCGGCCTCTGGGCATTTCGACTCAGCCCTCACGAGGATCGTGGCCATATAGGGAGCTCCACCCGAGGCGCCAGCGGCAGGGTTTGCATGGCGGCCTCGGGGAATTTCGGCACACCCCTCACGAGGATCGTGGCCACATGGGGAGCTTCACCGAAGGCGCCTGTGGCAGAGTTCGCATAGCGGCCTCGGGCCATTTCGGCACACCCCTCACGAGGATCGTGGCCCCAGAGGGAGCTCCACCGTAGGCCCCCAGTGGCAGGGTTCGCGTGGCGGCCTCGGGCCATGTCGACACACCCCTCACGAGGATCGTGGCCCCATAGGGAGCTCCACCGAAGGCCACCAGTGGCAGGGTTCGCATGGCGGCCTCGGGCCATGTCGGCACGCCCCTCACGAGGATTGTGGCCCCATTGTTGTGCTGCTTCAACAACCGCGCCTGGGCGTCGTACTCCGCCTTGTCGACGTGCAACGCCACTTCCTCCCTCATGGCTCTCAAAGCCCTCTCCTGCTTCTGCTCCTCGGTCAGATGGACGCCGTCCTTGTCGTCGTCGGCGCCCGCGAAGACGGCCACGAACGTGTTCCCGAGCATGTCGGGCTCCTGCGGGAAGCCGTGGCCACATAGGGAGCGCGGGCGAGGATGGTATTCACAATTGCGGTACACACAACTGCATATGGTTGAGTCCTTCGCCAGGCTAATTTTTCCAATCCACGCGTTTTCCCCCGATGTCCAGGACGAAACTACACCCGTGGAAATGGTCGGGACCAGGGCTGGACCTCAACGCTGTTTTGCTGGACTTCGGCTGTGTTCTGTTTCGTTTTGGCAGGGAGGTACAGGAAAACGGGCAGGGCAGCATTCAAAACATGGCGAAAACGAGACGAACAACAGCGGTTAGGTCCAGCCCTGGTCGCGACCACCAGGGCCGCGGATTAAGAAACCACGTCGTCGGATGTCTGGGTCGCTTCCGACCTCGATCGAGCCCGACCTCGAGCCCAGCGCGGGCCGCAGTGTGCTTCTCGTTGGCTCGCAGGGGGCCCGAGCCCGATGCGCAAGCCCTCCTCCTCCTCCTCCTCCTCCTCCTCCTCCTCCTCCTCCTCCTCTCCTCCCTCCTCCCTCCTCCTCCTCCTCCTCCTCCTCCTCCTCCTCCTCCTCGTCCTCCTCCTCCTCCTCCTCCTCCTCCTCCGCCTCCTCCTCCTCCTCCTCCTCCCGCGCCGGTCCTGGCGCGATTCGATCCTTTGCCGCTCCGATCCGATGATGTGGGGCGCCCCCCACGCCAGACGCTTCGATGCCCGCTTCACGCACGCCTCCTGCTCCTCCTCCTCCTTTGCTTTGTCTTCGAGGTGGAGGACGCGGACGACGACGAAGACGGCGACAGCGAAGGTAACGACGACGACGACGGCGACGTTGACGCCGACGCTGACGACGCTGACGAACGACGACGACGACGACGACGACGACGACGACGACGACGACAACGAGGGCGGCGGCGGCGGCGGCGGCGGCGGCGACGATGCGCTCCAGAAGCCAACAAGGGCCAAACATACCTCGAATCGTCATCCTCGACCTGGAGCCGCAACCCTCGATGCTCCGGAGTTTACCGCCTCAGGGGCTCTGGTACTGAAGCGGGGTACGTGAAACGGAGGAGGAAGAGGAGGAGGAGGAGGAGGAGGAGGAGGAGGGGGAGCTAGACGAGGAGGGGGAGGAGGAGGAGGAGGAGGAGGAGGAGGAGGAGGAGGAGGAGCAGGAGGAGGACCAGTGTAGCCCCAAGAGTCATCAACGATGTTGGAAAAATCCCTTCCTCCAGGCTCCCTCTTGACAGGCACCTACAGGGGTTCATTTCCACTGGGGGAACTGCCTCGTTGGAAGACAGCCATTTGAAGACCCTGAAGCATGCCAAAACATCGTTTTCGGGATTCCATCGTCACGGTTCAACCACACTGTTGCGTCTTGACGATCCTGAATCATGCCAGAGAGCCATTCCTGGAACGTCAACAACCTGAAACGAATGTGCGTGGCGCGAGAGCCACATGTTGAACACGGGTCGCCCTCAATCCGTGAAACTCTTGCAAATGTTGAAAACGAATGTGCGCGGCGCTAAGGCGAGAGCCACATTTTGAAAACGGCCCGCCCTCCATCTGTGAAATTGTTGCCAATGTTTAGCTTCAGGGTCATAATTTGTGCGGAAGTCTCAGGCGAAACGCCTGGCCCGCCCTAAAAACTGGCCTCGGGGTGCGACAGGGAGAAGCTGTTGATGAGGAGAAGGAACGGAGGAGGAGAAGGACGAGGAGGAGGAGGAGGAGGAGGAGGAGCAGGAGGAAGAACAAGACCCAGTTACCCCGCTCACTGGAAGCCCCTGCAGACGGCAGAGCAGATAAACCCCGGCTCCTCCCTCTGCCAGGCCCTGGCCCCGGAGTGCCCCCCTCTGTGCTCGCGCCCTCGTGGTCGTCCTCCTGAGTCTCGTTGGCCGACGCCCGGCTGTGGCATAGGCTTGCGGCACGCTCCTCACCGCGGGGCTCAGCCCCCGACGATCAAAGATTACTGTTCGTGATGGGACTCTTTTTACCGTTTCGTCCACACTGCTCACATCGAGATCAAGGGGGTGGAGGAGGAGATGGAGGAGGAGGAGGAGGAGGAGGAGGAGGAGGAGGAGGACGGCGACGATGCCGAAGAAGAAGAAGACGAAAAACTAGAGCATGAAGAAGAGCCACCCACCTCGCTCGCTGGAAGTCCCTCGGGCGGGTGGCAATAGCGGGTGACCCAAATGGGGGGTGAAGAATAGGGTTTTAAAGTGGCCCTCTAGGGTTTCTCGTGGAGCCAGAAGATGCCCAAAAGGGGCCCTGAAGGGCCCTTTTAAAGCCTTTCTCTTCACCTCCCAGTTTGGGTCACCCCCTCATTGTCCTCCTCCTCCTCCTCCTCCTCCTCCTCCCCCCCTCCTCCTCCTCCTCCTCGTCCTCCTCCTCCTCCTCCTCCTCCTCCTCCTCCTCGTCTCCCTCCGCCGCCTCCTCCTCCTCCGCCTCCTCCTCCTCGTTCATTTCTCCTCGCCCCCCGGAGCCCCCCGCAGACGGCCACGCAGAGCCCTCGACCCGCCCCTCCGCCAGGCCCTGGCCCCAGAGTACCTGCCCCTCGCCGCGGCCGCCGTCCGGGACGCCTTCGAGCGCAGGCTGCCCGAGGCCTTGCCGCCTCCGCTCGGCGAAGCGATCGCTCGCCGCCGTCGATGGCCGAGGAGGATCGAGGAGGATAGAGGAGGATCGACGAGGCTCGGATGAGGAAGAGGTGCCCATAACCGCTTCCTTGCCTCGTTTTCCCCTTTTCGGGCCTCCCGGGAGGCCCTCGTCGCCACCGCCGGATTCGCCTCGAAATTCTGGTCAGAACGCAGCCCAGGAGAGGGCCGTGGAGTAGCGGTGTCGGCACCTTTTGGCTTCCCCATATGAGGGGAGGGGGAGGAGGCGGAGGAGGAGGAGGAGGAGGAAGAGGAGGAGGAGGAGGAGGAGGAGGAGGGGGAGGAGGAGGGGGAGGAGGGATTACAGGGAGATCCGCCATCACGCACTGATGCAGATGAGGAGAGAGAGGCACCTCAGGCGACGCAGATGGGCTCTGCTCTTCCAGGTGCCCCAAGCCGACACCAACGAGCACGGAGATCACCACGAAGAAGCGTTGCATGAACATGAGGTTAAGGAGGGGAAAAACACACAGACATAATTAATCGTCGATTCTCAGAAAATATAGGAAAATATGGGAAGTGGGGGGGGAGACAAACACCCAGAAAATATAGGGAAATTTGGGGAACCCTTCAGAGGTGCGCGGCGCCATGCCTAAACTTGGACATGCGAGCTCCTGCCGCCAACTCCAGTCCAAGGAACTCGGCGCATTGAATTCTTCCGACGACTACTGCTGCGGACAGGTGGCTTCTGAAGGTGGCCCTATACCAAGCATGCCGAGACTACCTCCCTCGATAGAACCACCTCGCCATCCAGCACGATCGGGCCCAGGATCACGACGGACTCCAGCCCTCTGAGCTGCTGCTGCGACGTCTGCGGCGCCTTCGACTGGCATCGCGCCGCCAGAGGCGCCGCTGCTCTGAGCATCGCCGAGGCCTCCAGGAGTGGCGCGCCCCTGAAGGTGAAGCACTCCAGTAAGAACGGTTTTTTGAAGGCAGATCTGCCTTCAAAAGAACGGTTTTTTGAAGGCAGATCTGCCTTCAAAAAATGGTCTACTCTGTAAGAACGGTTTTTTGAAGGCAGATCTGCCTTCAAAAAACCGTTCTTACAGAGTAGCGCCGCTGCTCTGAGCATCGCCGAGGCCTCCAGGAGTGGCGCGCCCCCGAAGGCGAAGCACCTCCAGCTGGCGCCGAGCCCAGCCCTCGACGATGTGCCCTGCCGTGCGCACCGAGATCCAAGCCCACGGGCGAGGGCCCCCCCAAGAGCGCCTGGTGCACCAGCTTGTCGAGGCCAGGCAGGGCTCCTCCTCCTCCTCCCCCTCCTCCCCCTCCTCCTCCTCATCCTCCTCCTCCTCCTCCTCCTCCTCCTCCTCCCCCTCCTCCCCCTCCTCCCCCTCCTCGTCTTCCTCCCCCTCCTCCCCCTCCTCCCCCTGGTCCAGCGCTCCAGCGAAATGACGACCGAGAGGACCGCCACCGCCAGGGACAGCGGGGTCAGGAGGCGGAAGGAGTCCACGGGTCGCCGTTCCGCAGCCTGGAAGGAGAGGCACTCAGCGGAGGCCCCCAGCACTGCCTTCTTTGTGGCGAGCTTCCCCTCGGCAGGACGCCACTGCAAGGCCACCCGAGCCCTCGTCACCAGCAGGGTCACCTTCCGCGGCGGTGCCGAGGCCAAGCCACGTGCAGATGACCGAGAGTGACCGTCGCTGTGCGCGTGGCCCCTGTCGACCGCGGGGAACAACTGAACCACGGACCTCACGCCTTGCAAACGCGCGCATGTGGCGTCGCGCACTGGAGGGGGGAGCCTGTCGGGCCTCTGGAGGTGCCACGACCACCTTTGTCTTGGCACGAAACCGACGAATGCACGGGAAGTGGACGTCCGAGCGACGGCAAGTTGTACGTCATCGGATTCGGATCGAGAACGCTGGCCAGCGGCACGTGGGCACTCATGCCCAGCAGGGCCTGCTCGATGACCCAGCCGTTTCCTTTGCCGCGGCTCGCGTGGTGAGAGGACCGAGTGTGTGAAGGGTGCCCGCGCGCCCAGGAAGTAAGGGAGCAAGCAGATGCTGGAGATGAAGGGTGCTACTTGAGCAGGGGGAGGAGGAGGAGGAGGAGGAGGAGGAGGAGGAGGAGGAGGAGGAGGAGGTGGAGGAGGGGGAGGAGGAGGAGGAGGAGGAGGAGGAGGAGGGAGGAGAGGAGGAGGAGGAGGAGTAGGAGGAGGAGGAGGAGGAGGAGGAGGAAGATGAGGAGCGGGGGGGCGGAGGAGCAGGAGAAGGAGGAGGGGGGGAAGGATGAGAAGAGGGCGGAGGAGGCCTTGGGGCCCCTCCTCTTCGTCTTGCTCTCTCTCTCTCTCTCTCCTTCTATCTCTATCTCTAGCTCTCCTCCTCCTTCTCCCTCCTGCTCGCTTCCCCTCCCTCCCCGCTTTCCTGCTCCTCCTCGTCCTCGTGCTCTGTCCTTCACTCCCCTCTCCTGAATTCTGCATCAGCCTCCCCCCTCCTATCCTTCTCCTCCTCCTCCTCGCATGTTCTGGCCATGAACTGGCTGTCGGTCGATTTTGCTTCGCCATTGCGGATGAAGATGATGCTGATTGTGATGATGATGGTGATGGTAACGATAATTATAATCATAATACTAGCATGTGTTATAATAATAATAATAACAACATGAGTATTCATGATGGTTCTAATAATAACATTAATAATGATATTAGTAATAATAATGATAATAATAGTGGTAGTACGAATAATGATAAGAATACTGATAATATTTACTACTATAGTAATATGAAGAACAGTAATAATAAGTATGATAATGGTGGTGTTGCTGATGATGATGATGGTGATGCTGGTGTTGATAGTGATGATGACTATGATGACGATGTAGGTGATGATGATGCTGTTGCTGATGATGATGATGGTCGTGGTGATTGTGACCCATCATTATCCTCCCTCCCGCATCCTCCTCCAATGCAGTCCTTCTGCTCGTGCTCATGCTTCTGGTCCTGCTCTTGTTCCCTGTTCTTTCTGATCCTGGCTCTGCTCCTGCACATCCTCGTCCTCTTCCTCCTACTCTTACTCTCCTCTTCATTCTAAGTGTCCTCCTCCTCCTCCTCCTCTTCATCATCATCACCATCATCATCATCATCATCATCATCATCTTCCCCCGCCTCCTCCTCCTTCTCTTTCTCCTCCTTCTCTTCCTTCTCTTCCTCCTCCTCTTCCTCCTCGTCCTCCTCATGTTGCGGCGGCGGCCCCAGCGACACGCTTTGCCCTGCGAGCCGATAGCGTGTCGCTCCGCTCTGGGGCCGGAGGTTGTGGAAGGTTCGGGATGTTGACGCTCGGGGGCTGGGCATTCAGCGTGTCGAGGCGTGGTGGGCTAGAGCTGGCGGCACGACATGCTAAACCAAAGTTCCTGACCGTACGGTTGGTTCGCGTCGTGTCGACCAGCGGCGGCGACCCTGCCGCTGGTATTGAACGTTAAACGCCGCTGGCGACCCAGAAGCGGTCGATCGTTCAAGGTTGAACGATTCCGATGAGGTTCGAATACAAACACGCCGCAGGTGAGGTGATATCCGATCACGGTGCGCCTCACTCGCGCACGTGATGGAGTGGTTCCGAGCTTGTTACCCAGCTACGACGCCCTTGAGCCTGTACAGGGAGCGCTGCTTCTTTTCGCACAGTTTTTTGGTCTCCGGGGCGAGCGCGCACCTCTTCCGGTACAAGCTTAGGCGGGCTACGCGCAGCTCTCATTGGGGAGAGGGCACAGGCGGGCGGGGCCTCAGGCGACCGGAGGGCGGACCGGGGTGCAGGCGGTGCCGAGGAGCTTGCACAGAAAAAGGAACGCCTTGGACAGGCGCCGGAGGCGAAGATCCGGATTCTTTGCACACAGTCCAGGGTCAATATCAACAATGGTTGGTTCGTCCCAGGAGGATCTCCACCTGGCGCCTTGCTCTCCACGGTCTCCACGTTCAGGCGCGTGATCATGAGCGGATGGTGTCTGAGGCCGACGTCAGTCTTTATTTCGCCCACTGGATCACGGACCTGGCTGGCCCTCGTCCTCGTCCTCCTCCTCCCCCTCCCTCCTCCTCCTCCTCCCTCCTCCCTCCTCCTCCTCCTCCTCCCTCCTCCTCCCTCCTCCCTCCTCCCTCCTCCTTCCTCCCCCCTCCTCCTTCCTACCTCCTACTGTATGGCGGACCCGAAGCGAGGGCCGTCCCTCCTCCCACTGCTACTGGCGGCCGCGGGCACGCCGTCGCCGATCGGCGGGCCGCGGCGGGCGCGGCCGCGGTGCCCACGGGGCGGGCCACAGGGACGGGTGGGCCAGAGGAGGAGGAGGAGGAAGAGGAGGAGGAGGAGGAGGAGGAGGAGGAGGAGCAGGAGGGGGAAGAGGAGAAAGAAGAGGAGGAGGAGGAGGAGGCGCAGGAGCAGGAGCAGGAGCAGGAGGAGCGGGAGGAGGAGGAGCCAGAGCAGGTGGAGGAGGAGGAGCAGGAGGAAGAGGAGGATGAGGAGGAGGGGGATGATGATGATGATGATGATGATGATGATGATGATGATGATGATGATGATGATGATGATGATGATGATGATGATGATGATGATGATGATGATGATGATGAGATGAGGAGGAGGAGGAGGAGGAGGAGGAGGAGAAGAAGGAGGAGGAGGAGGAGGAGGAGGTGAGCCGTCACCAGGTCCTACAGCCCAGATGCTGCGAGAAGGAACACTTTGGTCGAAGAGTAACAACTGCATAAACGTAAAGTTTCGAGGTTCCGCCGTTCCGCGTGGATTTGTTTGGATCTGCGCTGAGGCCCCCCTGGCGGCGCCTCCGGCGTGCTCCGCGGGCTAGGGAAGGGGCCCAGCGCCGATCCACGAAAACCGCGCGGACATCCGCTAAATGATGTTTCTTTTTTTATTCAGCATCACTTGTGGTAGCACGATGACCGTCCTCCTCCTTCTCCTCCTGTTGCTGCGTACCCTGAGGTCCAATGTTTTGAGCGAGTGACAACATCGCGAGAAATCACAACCGTAGCCCCCATCACTGCGCTGCATTTTCCCGAGCCGGATCGATCTGTGATGGCCCCCGCGGTCAGAAACTTGTCGAAAAACTGCCTGGCGTGAAAAAGTTGCAACGCCCAGGTCTCAGGGAGCTGCTGCTGGCTCCTCCTCGCACGGAGCAAGGAGAGTCCCCCTCGCCTCCTCTGCCAGGCGCGCGCGCGCTGCGCCCGCAGGTGCGCGCGCGCGAGGGCGCCCACCGCAGAGAGAACCTCGGCGACCGTCTCTTCGAGCAGGTGCGCCAGGACACCCCAGCGGCGACCACGGCGACACCTGAGCGACGCCTCACTCACTCACTCACTCACTCACTCACTCATTTTTCATTCACTCACTCACTCATTTTTCATTCACTGACGCATTCGTTTACTCACTCACTCATTTTTCATTCACTCACACTCACTCACTCACTCACCCATTCACTCACTCACTCACTCACTCACTCACTCACTCACTCACTCACTCACTCACTCACTCACTCACTCACTCCTCCTCGCTCCATCCATCCTCCTCCTCCTCCCCCTCCTCCTCCCCCTCCTCCTCCGCCTCCCCCTCCTCCTCCTCCTCCTCCTCCTCCTCCTCCTCCTCCTCCTCCTCCTCCTCGTCTCCCCTCCTGCCACGCCCACTCCCCGAGCCCCTCTCTCCCCTCTCCCCTCCCCCCCCGGCCCGGGCGGCGGCGGCGACCACCACCGGCGACAAGGGGACAGGTCAGACGAAAGGGGCTCGAGGCTCGAGGTTTTTCAGCTATTTGCTTCGGTTCTCGGCGGTATCTCGGCCTCGGGATGCCTTCCGGCAGCCGCACCTCGCCGAGGGCGTTCAAAGGGGTGCCCGCACCGTGCCGAACGGCCGTCGGAGACTTGAGTTACATGATCCGCAGGTCAGAGGACGAGGATCGCTTGGGTCGGAAACGGGAGTGGACTGGGCAAGGGAGGCTCGGCATCTGCTGCGTGCAGCTGGTGTCGGCCCCGCCGCCGGGCGCTTTCCTCGATACGTGGACGTTGCCTTGGCGCCGGGAGGCGCGGGGAGAACCAGCTGCGCGAGCCGATTCGCTACCCGTCCTCTTCACGAATTGCTGATCCCTTTCCGTCCGCCCGGAGAAGGGAGGGAGGAGTGGAGGGCAGGAGAAGAAAGAAAGGGAAGAGGGGGTGATGATACTGATGATGATTATGCTGCTGCTGCTGCTGCTGCTGCTGATGATGATGATGATGCTGATGATGATGATGCTGACGATGATGTTGGTGAGGGTGATGGTGATGATGATGAGGAGGAGGAGGAGGAGGAGACCGTAGGAATTATGGCTTAGGGTCTTGACAAAGTGGATACCGCTAGTGCGCGGCCGGACATCCAATGCTTCCAGGCCACCACAGTTGAGTTGCGCGCTGCTGTGGGCGAGCCTGACCACATTGGCCTCCTCATTCGAGCTGCGCGCTGTTGAGAGTTAGCCCATCATGTCGTTTTTCCCAACATGTTTGCTTGCACGTGTGGTGCCGGGAGCCATTCATGTGTTCGAGCATGCCAATCGTGGATCACGGTCGCCTGCGCAGACATCCTTACGGGCTGCTGGCGGTTCTTTGGCTGATGGTGGTGCGTCTTCTGGCCCTGCTCACGTCGATTCCCTACAGACGCGGGACCCCTGGGTTGGCATTGCACACGGTGGCGCCACTTCGTTTTCTGGAGCTACCGCGGCATGTCCTTCCCCTTCCGGTCCTTCGGAACCCCTCACCAAGGACGCGCTCGACACATTCTTCATGTTTTCAACCAGGATATGCAACATCGCATCACCGCAACCGATGGCGTTCAGTTTTCGAACATCAAAAAGCAGCTGGCCTCGGAATTGTCTGACGGCAGTAGCACTCTGGTCGTAGCGGTTGCCACGAGACAAAAGAACATCCCAAACGGGGCGATGCAGGGTAAAGTCAGAGAAACTCGTGTCAAGCACGATCATATAAAAATAAATCGCGTCAAAATGCAGCACAGAGCCGATGACATGCGGAAGGAACTTAACATCCAGGAGAGAGCGATCCCCATCAAGGATTAGGACGAAATCGTCACATGTAATCGCTAAGCGGACCCGGCTAGTTTTCAGCGCAACGGATCAGCAATGGCAGCGACGGGCGTTTTCAAGGAGACTTTCTCTCACTGGCTCACACCAGCAAGTATTCAAGACAATACACGGAAGACTGTCGGTGAACTTCCCAACAAAATGCTCATCATTCAAATTGCGGGAAATAGTGGTGCGGCCCAGCGTAAGGCCACGGCTGCGCGGCGAGCTGACCGCAATGCAGAAGGTGTTCGGCGGCAGCTTGCAGTGGATTCAGCGGAATGTGAACGGGCAACACTTTTTCTTGGCCTGGATATATCGCCAAAGCAGATTGGAGTCGAAGTTCAAACAAAGAAGGTGGCGCAGTTACTCAAGGAGCAGCTGGCCCAGCCCAGAATCAGACACGACAAGGCAAAGAGCGTAAACTACGCCGACGGTGTTCTAGTGGTTTCGGCCGAAGCAAGCGAAAGACGCGAGGGCCCTTCGAAACTCAGGTGGAACTACGCGGCGGCTCTTTCAGAGCAAGTGGGCCAGAAACAGCGCAGGAGGCATTCAGTGCTTGCTTCAATGCGGAAGCAGCATTCAGTGACAGACTTAGCTGACTGCTATGTGCATGGAGAGGAACAGCTCGCGATAACCGACCTGCTAGCATTTCTTTCTACATATGGATTGCGAGGGCCCTGCCTCATCAAAAGTTGGATGTGAGACGACCGACGTGCAACCGACCACTTCATTTCGCTGGCCAATCGGTAGATGCTCTTCATGGAGTCTATGGGGCACCTGAGGAATTGCGACATCAACGATACCTTCGCCGGATGGAGTTCGGCGTCGTCGCCTCCGCCCCATTTCGGAACGCTCGCGGCGTCGTCCTCAGCATTCCTGCCATGCCCCAGGTTGATCTTGACTTCGATTTGCAAAAGGAAACGAAATGCCACTCGGAGCGCATGCCCTTGCGTGCCCAGTTTCTGGTCATCAAAGCTCGCGCGAACGCTTGCAGAGAGGATGCAGCTGGTCGTATTGGACATGCACGATTTCGAATTTTCGGCGGAGCAGGTGCGAGAGATGACGGATTGCATTCAGGCTGGCGAGGCCCAGGTTGCGGAGGAGTGGCCCGAGCGAGTCCCTGTCGTGATCCTCGGTGGCTCCAACTACATGGAAGCGCATTCCAAGCACTTGCGCGTTCCAGAGGTTGACGCGGGTGCGGTGGTAAAGGCGAGGCAGAGTGAACACGGCAATGCATGGGCATGCCAGTTGACAGCGTCACTTGTTGAGTTCGACCCGCAGAAGCCCACCCAGTACGTCGCGCAAGAGCATCGCCTGACTCAGCTTGATAGAGTCTATTTCCACCCCGCAGCGGATGCTCATGCAGATGAGTTTGGCAGCGCGGTGGGACGTGATATTCTATGCGTTGGAGGCATCTCGGATCACGCGCCGGCGCAAGTGTCCTTCCGCGCCCCCCCCGGCGGCCTCGCGAAGATCAACCGCTCCCGCGCTTTGTCTGTCAGTCGAATGACTTCGCGGATGCGCCCGAGCTGCTGTCGAGCCAGCCGCGCCATTCGCAAGGACTTCGGCTTCCGCCCGCGCCTCGATGGAAGGAGCTGTGGAAGCTCACCCGCGACGCTGCTCGAGTCGCCAGGGCCAGGATGACGCGCCCCCCCACTCTTTCTCTAGGGCTCGCCTCCTCGCTCTTCGATCGCTTTCGCGGGCGGCGCGCGCAGTGGCGCGCGCCCCGCCGGGGCCCCCCAGACCTGGTCGAGCTCGGCGGTTGCGGCCCGCCGCGTTCGCGAGCGCCCGGCCCCCGAGGCCGCCCTGGGCAGCCCCGCGGCGCTGCGCGGGCTGCGCGAGCAGCTGCAACGGGAAGGGCTAGATGCCCGTCCAGGAAGCCAAGGTGCATCGGCAACGTGTCAGGGGCGTAAGAGACTGCGAATTCATTATACCTGAAAGGCGGAAAAAGAGGGACCCTGGGCTCCTCGAGGCAGAACGCCCCCCTCTGGGCGTCGCCAGGCCCCGCGGGCACACCGCTCTCCTCCACTGCGAACATGATCGGAGCCTCGAAGGATCATTGGGCCTTGTTATTTCGCCGAGGCCAGCTCCACTCGAACGCCTCGAGGCTCGCCTTCATCAGCGCGTTGAAGTAGCTTGGGGCTGCAGCCGGGATTGCCGGCGCGCGCCCAGATGCCTCTCCTCTTCTTCCCTCTCTATCCTTGCCTGACATGGGCGGCGTTTCTCTCTCCCATTGTTCCCAACCCTCCTTGGTTGGGTATTCGTTTCGAATAGAGCAGTGTGGTCGCGTCCCTTCTCCCTTCTCCCGCCTCCCGCCTCCCGCCTCTTCTTGTCTTGCCTGCGGGGGGCTGCGATCTGTGAAACTGTCGCCACTTTCGAGGCCTGCTGGGGGGTCCGGCATAAAGGGTAACCGCGGCAGATTCAAATTAGACCTCGCCATCCCTGGGGGGCTGCGATCTGTGAAACTGTCGCCACTTTCGAGGCCTGCTGGGGGGTCCTGCATAGAGGGTAACCGCGGCAGATCCAAATTAGACCTCGCCATCCCTGGGGGGCTGCGATCTGTGAAACTGTCGCCACTTTCGAGGCCTGCTGGGGGGTCCTGCATAGAGGGTAACCGCGGCAGATCCAAATTAGACCTCGCCATCCCTGGGGGGCTGCGATCTGTGAAACTGTCGCCACTTTCGAGGCCTGCTGGGGGGTCCTGCATAGAGGGTAACCGCGGCAGATCCAAATTAGACCTCGCCATCCCTGGGGTGCTGCGATCTGTGAAACTGTCGCCACTTTCGAGGCCTGCTGGGGGGTCCTGCATAGAGGGTAATCGCGGCAGATTCGAATTAGACCTCGCCATCCCTGGGGGCTGCGATCTGTGAAACTGTCGCCAGTTTCGAGGCCTGCTGGGGGGTCCAGCATAGAGGGTAATCGCGGCAGATCCAAATTAGACCTCGCCCTCCCTGGGGGGCTGCGATCTGTGAAACTGTCGCCACTTTCGAGGCCTGCTGGGGGGTCCAGCATAGAGGGCAATCGCGGCAGATTCAAATTAGACCTCGCCATCCCTGGGGGGATGCGATCTGCGAAACTGTCGCCATTTTCGAGGCCTGCTGGGGGGCCCAGCACAGTGAGGGCCACGCGCGGATTCAAATTAGACCTCGCCATCCCTGGGGGGCTGCGATCTGCGAAACTGTCGCCATTTTCGAGGCCTGCTGGGGGGCCCAGCACAGTGAGGGCCACGCGCGGATTCAAATTAGACCTCGCCATCCCTGGGGGGCTGCGATCTGCGAAACTGTCGCCATTTTCGAGGCCTGCTGGGGGGCCCAGCACAGTGAGGGCCACGCGCAGATTCAAATTAGACCTCGCCATCCCTGGGGGGCTGCGATCTGCGAAACTGTCGCCATTTTCGAGGCCTGCTGGGGGGCCCAGCACAGTGAGGGCCACGCGCAGATTCAAATTAGACCTCGCCATCCCTGGGGGGCTGCGATCTGCGAAACTGTCGCCATTTTCGAGGCCTGCTGGGGGGCCCAGCACAGTGAGGGCCACGCGCGGATTCAAATTAGACCTCGCCATCCCTGGGGGGCTGCGATCTGCGAAACTGTCGCCATTTTCGAGGCCTGCTGGGGGGCCCAGCACAGTGAGGGCCACGGGCAGATTCAAATTAGACCTCGCCATCCCTGGGGGGCTGCGATCTGCGAAACTGTCGCCATTTTCGAGGCCTGCTGGGGGGCCCAGCACAGTGAGGGCCACGCGCGGATTCAAATTAGACCTCGCCATCCCTGGGGGGCTGCGATCTGCGAAACTGTCGCCATTTTCGAGGCCTGCTGGGGGGCCCAGCACAGTGAGGGCCACGCGCAGATTCAAATTAGACCTCGCCATCCCTGGGGGGCTGCGATCTGCGAAACTGTCGCCATTTTCGAGGCCTGCTGTGATCCCCGTTTTCGAAGTGGCTAGGAGTGCTGAGGAATTGTAAATCATCAGCTTTATCAAGCCCTTTTCCTGTAGCCAGTGTCCTGCGAGTCTCCCGAATTCCGTCTGCAGACATATGTAACCCTCGCTCCGTCATCGCCCCCTTATAAAGTATCCTAAACTATTTGCGCCCCGCTTTAGCGCAGGGGTTGGGTACGTCGCCAGGGTAATTTTTTTTCAGCTGCCCTGGGGCAACTCGCCCCCGCCGCAGGCGCCTGGAATTTCGCGGGGGCCACTTATGCGCTAGCGGCGGCTAGAGCGCCCCGCCAGGAATTGTTGTTCAGTTCGGGCGCCATTCCGCCTGTCGCGACGCAGGGTGGCCCCGCAGGCGAGGGCGCGTGGGCCGCGGCCGCGCACCCCCAATTCGGGACAGGCGCAACGGGTTGCGCGAGCACACCCGGTCGGTCGCGGGGGCGCGCGCGGATGGCGCAGGGGCGGTGGCGCAAGGAATCGAAATCCTCATGCGCTTGCCCGGGATTTATGCGCCGCGCAGCTGCTGGAGGGTCTTGCCCTCGAGATTCCCAAGCACAGGGTCACCCCAGTTGCTGGGCCGCTGTCAGGAGCTCACCAGTCGCGAATCCAGAGATCCGATGTCGCGATTTGTTCAATGCGGGGCCCCGGGAAGTCCCGGCCGAAAATCGGCAAACAACTCCGTCTTGATTTTTTCAATGCGGTGGATATCTGGGAATGCGTCTAGCACTCGCCCCATTCCCTCCCAGGGGTGGGGCGCCCCAGCGGCGGGCGCAGCGGGGCATCGAGGGGCGCGTGTTGGCCCGGCAGCTTGAGGGGGCAAGTTTCCAGATCCTTTCTCTTCGATAGCGAGCGAGAATCCGCCCGCAGTCTATGTGGGCGCGAACTCTGGCGGCGCCTGCGAGAAAGCTGGGGGCGCCAGAGGCTGGCTCGCGCCAGTGCCCCAGTGATTCCATGGCCACCGCGCTGGCGCGAGCCCCCGCGGGCCCAGGAACTCCTGCGCGCGCGGCAGGGACCCCGCGCTGTTCCCGAGACTCCGCAGGCGCGCGGGGAGGGCGGCCCAAGCCCTCGGAGAGGCGCGGCGCGAGAACCCGCGCGCGCCCGCGCAAGGGGGGCGGCCTCGCGGCCCCTCGAGCGAATTCTTCTCCCGGGATAGTCAGGAGGGGAAAAAGCACACTGACGCAATTCATCGTCGATTCCCCATAGAAAATATGGGAAATGGGGGAAGACAAAAACCAAGAAAATATGGGAACAGATGGGGCATCCTTTGATTTGTGTGTATTTGTTTGTGTGTCCCAGGGCCCCGACAAGTATGGGCGACGCGATCCTAAAGAGATTGAGCAAGTGGGCCACGCGCCCCCCTCGCCCCAATTCGCCCGTAAGTTAGCGACCCAAGGCCGGTCCCAGCCGCGTGGCGTTTTGCGTGGAACGCCCCGTTCTGCGCCCATGTCCACGATCGAGACTCTGGTGGGGGGCCGGGCGACGGAGCGGATGATGGCTCGGATCTGTAGTCCTGTAAATTCTGTTGCGAGGGATGCCTTGATGCTCGCTCTCGCTACCTGTGCTGTGAGCCTCTCTGGCGCGCGATTCCAGACACTCGGGCCCCTGCGCGACCGATCGACCAGCTTTTAGGTTGTCGTCTTGCCCTGGCCTCAGTGATGACAGGTGAAGCGAAGCGAGGGTCCTAGCAGTTCAGAGGGTGTCCTGCGCGTTCTATATATCTTCGACGACGCCCGAGGACAGACCCCTGCTGCCTTTCTCTCTCTCTCTCTCTTTCTCTTTTTTTCTCTCTTTTTTTTTTCTCTCTCTCTCTCTCTCTCTTTCTCTCTCTGACAGGGCGGCGAGGTCGCAGTTGTTGCAGCAGTATAGCGAGCAGCAAGGTGACTAGTGGGCATCTGTCCGAAACTACGTGCGAGGAGGAGGAGGAGGAAACGGAGGAGAGGAAGGATAATGATGTGGGTGCATCCGTCCGCCCATTCCCCCCCTCCTACTGTTGCGGAGGCCGCAGAACATCCCCAGAACTCCCTGGATGCCGGCAGAGAGTCCGATCGGCTGCCAGAGGCCCCGCATGAAGCGGGCCGCGGAGCGCCCAAAGACCTCGATCCCCGTCGCAGGCGAGACCGTTGCCCCAGCCGCCCTTTTCCTCCCTCGTCCCCCCCTATGGGCGCTCGATCCCTCGTCCCCCCCATGGGCGCTCGATCCCTCGTTCCCCCCTCCTCCCTCGTCCCCCCTATGGCCGCTCGATCCCTTTTTCCCGCTTCCGCGCCCGAGGCAGCTCTTCCAAGTCCGAGGGGGCGCTTATGATGCACTGCGCCGGGCGGGGCGCGCCTGGCAGAGGTGAAGGGGTCGAGCGTTCCCCCCCTCCTCCTCCTGCTCCTCCTCCTGCTCCTCCTCCTCCTCCTCCTGCTCCTCCTCTCCTCCTGCTCCCTTCCTCCTCCTCCTCCTCCTCCTCCTCTCCCATCCTCACTCCTCCTCCTCTCCTCCTCCTCCTTCCCTCCCCCCTCTCCTCCTGCTCCTCCTACCTCCGCCTCCTCCGCCTCCTCCTCCTCCTCCCCCCCCCCCCCGGCTTCTCCCAGGCCTGCCTACGAGCTGGCCCTGGTAGCGAGCCAGCCGCGCGCGATCGAGCAGTTCGACTCGGGGGATGGGTCGCAGAGGAAGAGGGGGGGGGAGGGAGCAGAGAACGGAGATGTGCCCAGCCCCAGCTCTCAGGCTGCCTCCCCTCCTCCCCAGACTTTCGCCCTGCCCCGTGGCCCCTCCCCGCCTGCCGCCCGCCCCCTGGCCTCAGGGGACCCAGCGGATGAGCAAGTCGACGCGCGTGCGGCAGCCGGCGAGTCGCCAGCTGCCGCGCGCGCGCGACCGTTGGAGGTAACCGCTGCGCTGTGCAACGTGGAAGAACCACTCCGTACTATACGAGCATCGTGTGTGTGTGTGTGCTTGTTCCTCGATGGCACACCCTGCTGTGTGCGGGCGTTTTGTGCAGTCGTGTGGCTTGCTAGCTGAAGTGCCGTATCTCCGTGCCTGCCCGCCGTCGACGGTCGAGAACCATTTGATGGGCCCAAAGATCCGATGTCGTGATTTTCTCAATGCGGGGTCCCGGGGCCGCTTTTTCGTCCTGAGTCGTTTTCTTACGGTCCCGGGGCCCGCCGAGGGCCTCCAAAGGCCGAAAATGGCCAAAAACCTCCGTCCTGATGTTTTCGATGCGTTGGATCTCTGGGCCGTGCCTGCCCGCCGGCGACGGTCGAGCACCACTCGACGGCTCGGCGCTCACCGTTGGGGCTGCACGCCTGGGCGCCTCGCCGCCGGGCGCCTCCGCGACGGCCACGGCCCGCCGCCACGCGCCGCCCGAGCATGGCGGCCCTGCCCAGAGGAGGAGGAGGAGGAGGAGGAGGAGGAGGAGGAGGAGGAGGAGGAGGAGGAGGAGGAGGAGGAGAAGAGGAGCGAGGAGGACGAGGAGGAGGAGGAGGGAGGAGGAGGAGAGGAGGAGGAGGAGGAGTAGGAGGAAAGAGGGGGAGGAGGAGGGGAGGAGGAATGAGGAAGGAGGAGGTAGGAGGAGGAGAAGGAGAGGAGGAGGAGGAGGAGGAGGAGGAGGAGGGAAGGAGGAGGAGGGAGGAGGAGGAGGAGGACGAGGAGGACGAGGAGGACGAGGAGGACGAGGAGGAGGAGGAGGCAGGAGGAGGACGAGGAGAGGAGGAAGAGGTGGAGGAGGAGTGAGGAGAGGAGGAGGAGAAGGAGGGGGAGGTGAGGAGGGGAGGAGGAGGAGGAGGGGAGGAAGGAAGAAAGAGGAGGCGGTGGAGGTGGCGGTGGAGGTGGAGCCTCGGCCCTGCCGCCCAGGAGTCCGGCGCCCCGCTCGGCACCGAGCCCGGCGAGGCGCGCGGCGTGCGGCCCCCCGCTCGTCGTCGCCGCCGCCGCCGTGGTCGCTGCCGCGTCGCCGGCCGCCGTCGTCGTCGTCGTCGTCGCCGTGCGCCGTCAGGAATTTCCGCCCCACATCACATTCCTCCCTCTCCGCCTCCTCCTTCCTCCTCCTGCACAGACTCCTCCTCCTCTCTCATCCCAGCCTCATCCGCCACCCTAATCCCGGACTCCATACTATCCTCTCCTCCTCCTCCTCCTCCTCCTCCTCCTCCTCCTCCTCCTCCTCCTCCTCCTCTAACCCAGAGATCCAGCGCATTGAAAAAATCAAGGCGGAGGTTTCTTGCCGTTTTCGGCCTCCAGCGCCCCTCGCCGGGCCTCGGGACCGTCAGAAAACGGCTCGGGGCGAAGAGCCGGCCCTGGGGAAAAGGGTCGGGACTTCCCCGGGGCCCCGCGTGGAAAAAATCACGACGTCGGATCTCTGGGGCTGTCCGTTGTCGTCCTGGTGCTCCTCCTCTTCCTCGGTCCGCCGGCGTCCGTTCGGCGTCCGTCGTCGTCGCTCGTCGTCCGCTGCCCGCCCCTGGCCTCTCATGGTGCGTCGTCGTCGTCTTCAGGAGGAGAAGAAACACACAGACACAATTGGTCGTCCACTCCCAGGCAAATATGGGAAAACATGGGACTTGGGCGGGAAGAGAAAAACCCGGAACATGTGGGAAAACATGGGGAACCATCTTGTTCGTGTGTGTTTCTCTGTGTGTCCTGGGGCCCCTTTACTGCTGTCCGTCGTCGTCGTGGTTCCCCCCGCTGCGGCCCTGGAGGCCGCCCCGGAGCAGGAGGCCGCGGCGGGCGGCGAGGCTGCGCGCGCGCGATTGGGGGGGCGCGCCGCGCTCCGCCCGCCCAGGATAGGAGTTCCACTCGGGAGAGGAAAAACGCACAGACCCAATGGATCGTCGATTCCCAGGAAAATGTGGAAAACTATGGGAAGTGGGGGGGAAGACAAAAACCCAGAAAATATTTGAAAATATGGGGAATCGTTTTATTAGTGTGTATTTATTTGTGTGTCCTGGGGCCCCTACATCAACGTCGATCCAAGCGCGGACCTCCGAAACATGTTGTTTGTGCAGGTGCTTATTCCGTTGCAGTCAGAGGATCTTATCTGTTTTGCGACAGAAGTGGACTAGTTCGGCGAGTTTCCGCCACGTTGTTTCCCGTGGCCGCCTCGTAGTCGTTTCGAGCGTGCACTACGTATACTGGCACCACATAGCTGATACCACATAGTTTGCACCACATAGCTCGCACATCAGAAGTGCAATAATTTACTTGTTGGGGCCCATGCTGGATGACATTGTTTATGCTTCTCCCCCATCTCTCCCCTCCGACTCCCCCTTCCCCCCATTTCCTCCCGCGCTCCCCCGCCCCCCCTTCCGCCTTTCCCCCCGCCCCTGTCCCCTCCCCCTACCCACCTCTCCCTCCTTATCCCGGCACCTCCCCCGTCATTTTGCCCATTTCACACCTCCCCCCCTCCCCTTTCCACCCTCGTCTCCCTAATCAACCCTTCCCTCCCCTCTCTTACTCCTGGTCACGCCGGTGTCTCCCCCTTCTCTCCTCCGCCTCGATCCCCCGCC